TATAAAAAGCAAAGAAGCCAAACTTGACCGATGGCTACTATGGTGACGGGAGAGGTTTTTGCTGAAAGGCATTGAGATTATGTTAACGGTGGTGGGACCATTTGGAAGAGGATCTTGATCATGGTTGTAGGACACAAGGGATATAATCACTGGCACTGATTTAGAAGCTGTTGAATTGGAGAATGCTTCCATGGGTATATTTTTGCCACAATTATAAAAAAACAACTACACAAACACCAATGAGAACAAGGAAGAAGACAATCATCTAGAATTGATTGTGGTGACGGTTGAGCTACTCTTTGGGACAGGAGTGAATGGTGGAATTGTAGGAAAGGTGGATGAAGTGCCCATAACACTGTTTAAAACAAAAAGTAGGTCCCAGGCATCTGCACCGGAAGAACCAGCCATTCAAAACCCTATTGGGCAGAGGGCTACACTGTCACTCATGAGATTGACATGACTCTGAGATCTCGTGGGGAACAGTAGCAGAAGCTTATAAATGCCCGATGCATGGAAGGCTTGAACAGCCGAGAATGAGAATGAGAGGTGGAGATCTAGACGCACAAATCTGGAAACACAAATGAAATCCCCCAAAGGGGCACACACACGCACAGAGGAGAGCCCACGCCCACTCTTGACAGGCTTCCCCGCTCCCACGGGGAGTCGTCCCTCAGGCAGCACAGCAATGACCAGTCACAGAGCCAGACGTAGACCATTCATCGTGTGCACCTTTGTCTCCCAGGCTCGCCGAGGATCCAGTAGAAGGTAACTTGCTGCGGAGATTTGCATTCTTGCCTCCTTTTATACCACTTCTCTCTGGATGTGGCTGTTTGTCATCTTGTCCTCATTAATCATAAGGCTCCATTAGCAATAAACATCCTCTTTGGGAGTTCTCTGCAGACATTTACACCTTGTGCAAACGGTTCCTTCTTCTTAATCATCCTTGAAAGGAGGCCATACTGTTGGCATATGGAATTGTGTGAATCAGGTTTGCTTTTGGTCAGGTGATATGCAACCTCATGTGTAGTATTAAATAAAAAATGACGCTGAAGGAGGTGGGGGACCAGCCCCCCACCCGTTGATACTCCTATTACTACTACTCGGATTCAGTAATACTACTTCTGGGTTCAGTAATGCACAAATGTACGGTTGAGATATATAAGCATTATATTAAAGTCATCAAGAGCAT